GACAGCCAGCAGGAAGCCTGCTGCTCACTGAGAAAAATGTTGACATTAAGAAGTGCTGTTCCTCCTCCTCCTCTTTTCTTTGTGGCCGTGTACCTGGTTTTCACAGGTGAGCCTTCATCTCGCTCCTCGCCGCTCTCAGTGTCCGCGTTCTCGCTGGGGAACGAAGCAGCTGAACGTGCTGCTTCCAAAGCAAGAACCAGAGGCTCTTTGTCGTTGCAGTTATGAATGACATCATCACAACCATGTTCAATAAAAAATTTATGGAGGAGCTGTTTAAACCGCAGGAGCTCTATTCCAAGAAAGCTCTGCGCACCGTGTACGACCGGCTGGCTCACGCGTCGATCATGCGGCTGAACCAGGCGAGCATGGACAAGGTAGAGCCCCACCGGCCAGCCCCCACCCTGCACTTCCACAAGCTTCTGGTTGCAATCAATTTATATTTATTAAAAACAGATACCTCTGTGGGTGCGTATGAATCGCTGTGTTTCTGTAGTGACAGCCCCTGTTTTGCGGTTGCGGGTGTTAGAATGTTTGCCTGCAAACAGTCCATCCAGGAGGGCATTTTGAAAGAAATGGTGGGAACTTGGTCCCCCGTGAGCCCCCTGCGCGGGTGTGGGTGCTGCTGGGACTGGCACGGTCTGACAGGCAGCGGGAGGGCTGGCGGCGGGATGGCAGAGCTCTCACTGGCTTCGGAAGCAGCGGAAAAGGTTCCTCTCACCGTAGGCAGTGCGAGCCCAGGTGTCCAAACCCCTCCTGCATCAACGGGACCTCGGCGCTGTTGCTCTGTCGTGTGACAGAACCGGTATTTCCCCGTGTTCTTTGCAGCTGTACGACCTGATGACCATGGCGTTCAAATACCAAGTGCTGCTGTGCCCGCGGCCCAGGGACATCCTGCTGGTCACCTTCAACCACCTGGACGCCATCAAGGATTTCATACGCGATGCTCCGGGCATTCTCAACCAGGTGGACGAAACCTTCCGCCAGCTGATTGACGTAAGAATCCTTAGGAAAATGGGGGGACACACTGCTGAGAGGTTTTTTTTTCCTCTTTCCAGCTAATCTTAGTAGATACAGCGTCAGTAAGTGCTGTCTCAGGTGTGGGGGTTGATGTGTTCTCATCCCGGGAGAACCATGCGAATACCCTTCCTCTCCGTTTAACCTGAGGGAACCACGCTGCCCCCCGGTCAGCAGCCTTTGCTCATGGAACTGCCGTGACAAAGAACAGGAGTACCCAGGGAAAGGGAACTGCTTTCAAAAATGTTCAAAGTTCTGGGAAGTCACGAAATGTTTCCGCAGGGCTTGTCCTCAATTCAAGTGTTATTTCCCTGCCAGCCCAGTTATAATCAATACATTGCTTATTCACCCTCATCAAAGTCTCCACTGGCTTCAGCACAGAAATTAAATCAGGCTCTTGGTCACGGATCATAATTACTGCTAATGCCCAGCAGCCCCCCGTACATCATTTCCACCTCCCCGCACACATTTTTGGCCAGCAGAATTCCGACATACTTGTTTCCACCTTGCCCTGGGTTGGGCATGGCACACGTGCAAAGCCTCACGTGATGGTTTTTCTTTTCCAGACGTACGGCTGTCTCTCCGATGGTGAATTTCAGCTTATCAGACAAACGCTCCTCATTTTTTTCCAGGACATGCACATACGGGTAAGAGCCCAACGCAACCAGTCAGTGAGAGCAAAAGGGAGTTTGTGGCATGAAGGCACCTTGTTGCGGTGACACTGTCCGGTTGGGTTTGTTCCTCAGGCTTGTCAGTCATCCTGATGTGCTCGTAATGTCAGTCTTCAACACTGCACAGACTGAGCACAGGTACTACAACAATACTCGATAATTCTAAAGTGTTATGAGAAAAGGAATATCTACTCGTATGGATTTGCTAGGTGATAAATATGTTTTTATTTTACTATAAATTTGATATGAAGCTGAGACCCTGAGCTTGAAGTCATAGGGCTTGATATTCTCTAAACAAATGGATGACACTCAAGTGCACAGGCAGGACAGGTTTGGGGTTTTTCTTTATTCTGGGATGAGTGTGCCCATCCTCTGGACCCTGCTGGCTTTGGCCCGTGTCGTAGGCTCCGTATATACATGAAAACCTCTCGGAAACCACTCACAGTCCGGGCAGGGGGGCCGCAAGGTTGGGCTTCAAAGAAGCTCCGAAGGTGTGTAACTGATGTTCTGGGATGTTCTTTTGCAGGTCTCCATCTTTCTGAAGGACAAAGTGCAGAACTCGAATGGTCGCTTTGTGCTGCCGATATCCGGCCCTGTTCCCTGGGGCACCGAGGTCCCGGGACTCATCAGGTGAGTTCGGAACCACTGCTCGTGGGGAGAGCTGACCCTTCAGGCAGGGCTCTGGAAAGGAGAGGACCTGGGACCCAGTCCCCCAGCAGTGGAACCCACACTGTGCTGCTGGCGTCCTCTGCTCCAGTCAATCCAGGGTTTATTCCTGTTCCTTGTGTGCGGTACGCCGAGGAAGAGCTGAAAAGCAGCAGTAACACTGCTCAGTGGGGTTCAATAATGGCTTGTTTTTAAGGATGTTTAATTGCAATGGAGATGAAGTTAAAAGAACTGAGTTCACCACTGATGGAAACTACGTCACTCCACAAAGGGAAGGATCATTTGAACTTTATGGAGACAGAGTCCTCAAACTTGGAACAAACATGTAAGTCACTCTTGTCCTACACAGAAGTGGGAAGCGAATGTTGATCCTTATGGATTTGTCCAGAAGCACATTGTCTGCCTTGTGTATTTTTGCCTCTTGCTGTCATCAGCTTGACTTTTTCACAAAGTGATGTCCTGAAACAGCACACATGTGGACAGATGTGTATAGAGCTGTGGGAAAGAGCCAACGTTTGATTTATGTCTGCAGTAGAGCTGAGTAGAGAGCTCTCAGTTGGTGCTGCATACCCTGGGAAGTTAACTCCATTCAGGAAATCCTTTCTTTTCTCCATGCTCATCTTACATAATCTTTCCATTGACAGAATAACAGTAGTGTCCTTTTTTACACTCTGTCCCTCACACATTTTAATGCCTCAATACCCCATAAAACTGAACTGTAACTTCTCCTTTCAGTTATTCACAGTCTTCAGAAAAATATCCTAGAATCATGTTTAGATGCTGTGCTGCTCCTCCCACTTCCCGTGTCGCACACAGGCAACGATTTGCTCCTCCCCGTGTGTTCTCTCCAGGTACAGTGTCAGTCGGCCGGTGGAGACACACATGTCAGGAGCATCCAAAAACCTGGTGTCCCGGGCGAAGGTCAGTGTTCTGTCCCTGTCCCTGGTTAAACAGCCTGTGACAGCGAGTCCTGCGGCTGGTCACATGCGGTGGGAGCGTTTCCTTTGAGCGCTTTCACCACATCCACAGATTTCACGTTCTGCTTCCCTGTCTCTGAAGAGATGGGGCCACGGAGTGAAACGCCCTATGCACCATCTCCAGACCATTTACCATGCCGCTGCACTGTCTTCCCCGTGCTCATTTCCTTGCTCAGGGAAACAATAACCAGCTTTTTGGTCTGCACTTAGGGGATAAATTCAGGGGAACCTGTTCAGTTTTTCTCAGAGAGCCATCCAGTCCTCCCAAGTCCCTTCTGAGCTAGGGGAAGGGCACGTTCTCCTGAGGAATCTTACCCACAGGCTTATGCAATGGTGGGCTTTTTAAATGGTGCACTATTTTAGTCTCTTCAGCAAACACAACGCTGATTTTACAGATTTCTCAGCTGTTCAATTTAGTTGGAAAATTATCTTGTCCTGGGTCTATAAATTCAAGCAACCATTTGAAATACATAGCTGATAATTACTAGTTATCTGCACAGCCTGTACCATTAACAATCCAGAGATGTATTTATATCGCTCCAAAGAACATTTATGTAATATCAGAAAACACAGGGATTGCAGTGCTCATCTCCCTGGTAACCTGCCCAACGAACCCACCGCTGTGTCCCGCAGGAGAGCGTAGCCCCTAACCCGCTGGTGAAGGAAGAACTGAACTTTCTGGCCAGGCTGCTGGGAGGTCTGGAGGTCAAGAAACCTGCTGGCGCTGAGACAGGATTTCGACTGAATCTGTTCACAACCGACGAGGAGGAAGAGTACGGTCAAGTCTCTCTTGCTCTGGGGTTTGTGGTGTAGTGCCATGGGGACAGTGGGGCTGCAGCCAGCCCTGAACAGCTTTAGGGACAGAACAGCAGGTTTTAGCATTTCCTCAGATGGTCCCAGCAGGAACACGAGCTGAGCAGTTTCCCTGGCGTGACCCTTCTGTCAGGGCTGTCAGCAAGGAGAGCCGTGCCCCTTACGGTGTCCACAGCCACGCACGGGCTCGCGTCCCTCCAAGCCAGACGGGAGGGCAGCAGCAGCTGGTGATCCGTGCTCCGATCTGTCCCGTGGCACAGACGCATCCCTCCAGCCCGTTAGCTCTCCTCTCCCCAGACACACGTGCCCATTGCAGAGATAAGAGTGTGGCTGCTGCAGGTGCTGAGCCCGAGGGGCTGAGCGCCATACCCCCTCCTGGCTGGGGGCACAGGGGTGAAGAGACTCTGGGGTGGGATTTCTGCAGAATGTTTTTACCTACCTTTCGTCTC